GAGTCCTTCGGGAATTCAAAACGAACACAAACATGGATGATCATCGAGTGTTCAAACGATGACGTCCAAGTCTTGAGGACGGTCAAAAATGGGGTGTCCACAATTATATGGTTTAAAACAAGCGCCAAAGCAATGGCATGAGAAATTTGACAAACAATGATGCCAAATGGATTTAAAATTAATGAGTGTGACAAATGTGTTTATATTAAAAATACAGACAAAGGTTATGTCATTGTATGTCTTTATGTGAATAACATGCTCATCATAGGTAGTAATAATGACATGATTAAAACTACCAAGAAAATGTTGAATAAACATTTTAACATGAAGGACATGGGCATTACTGATGTAATTCTTGGTATGAAAATTACCAAAACATCAGAAGGTTATGCTTTGTCACAATCTCATTACATTGAGAAAATACTTGACAAATTTAGCAAAGATGATAATCATCTTGCTAGAACACCTGTAGAAGTTAATTTGTTTCTATCTAAGAATGTACAAGAAAGTATTTCTCAATTAGAGTATGTCCAAATTATTGAAAGCTTAATGTATTTGATGAACTGCACTCGCCCAGATATAGCTTGTGCAGTAAGTAAATTAAGTAGACATACGAGTAACCCAGGAGTAGAACACTGGAAAGCAATTATAAGGGTGCTTAGATATCTCCGATTTACTCGTAACATTGGGCTTAATTATACTAGATATCTACCAATACTTGAAGGATACTGTGATGCAAATTAGATATCGGATACTAGAGACTCAAAGTCCACTAGTGGGTATGTCTTTACTCTTGGTGGGGCGGCTGTATATTGGAAATCTTCCAAACAGATTTGCATTGCTAGGTCTACTACGGAATCAGAATTCATAGCTTTAGATAAAGCTGAGGAAGAAGCAGAATGGCTTCGCCACTTCCTTGAAGATATTTCAATATGGCCAAAATCGGTACCTGCTATTTGCATACATTGTGATAGTCAATCAGCAATTGGTAGAGCACAGAATCATATGTATAACGGTAAGTCGCGATACATTCGCCGTCGACATAACACTGTGAGACAACTACTCTCTAATGGAATTATTTCCATTGAATATGTGAAGTCTAAAAACAACATAGCAGATCCACTAACCAAAGGGTTAGCAAAGAGAGTTAGTTGAGAATTTATCAAGGGGAAGGGGACTAAAGCCTAGTAAATAAGAGTTACCACAACGACAATCCAACCTAGTTGACTGGAGATCCCAAGATCTAGGTTCAAAGGGACAACTGAGTTGTGTATGACTTAGAAGGATCACTGGGGAGTCAAACTCCTACCCATTTCTATGATGAAATAGTGATGTCTGCAGCATTTTTGGTTAAGTAAAATTTTAATGATTCTTATATCTAGGTAAATCTAGTGGAGTATGGCAGGATACTCTTCATAATAATCACTTATATGAGTGTGAACTAGGCTAATTCTATGAAATTTGTGTAGGGCTACAATTCTGTAGAGCACTCATGAAAGACCAGTTTGTTCAGGGCCAAAATGAACACAATAGTGAGAACTAAACAGTGTTTGGGGATATACTGTGTGAATTCTATTGTCTTGGTTTACACAAATGATTGAACAGTTCAAAACATCATGTTCACTGGTTAGTTAGTAAATCCAATAGTGTCTCACAAGGTAAGGTTTAAAACCAAAAACTATTTATCATTTGCAGAATATTTCTAATTTTTGTACTCTCTGTAATTAGATCATATTGTTGCATTTTCTCTCAATCAAATTCCATTCATGTGGGGGATTGTTGGAAAATGGGTTTTATATATGCTTATTTTGGGCCATCTTTGAGCCCAAAATTGAGTCGGCCCCAAATGTCTTTTGGGGTGGGTCCGAAAAAGTGATGTGTTCCTTGCCGCATAGCAAGTCACACGGTGAAAACGGTTCATCAAAACTATTTATGAGTGAATTGGAAGTTGACGTCGTTTTCGGGTTCATGGAAAGGGAAATTTAAAGAAGTAAATGTGGGTTTCTTAAAATGGGTCGTCTCACATTGAAACTTTAAGAGAGCTTTTGTAGGTATATAATCTCTAGAGTACAATACTTGGATTGGGCCCCAAGGGATATCCCAAGTTTGTAGAAGGGAGGAGTTATGGATAAATGGAACCTTAGCTCAAACCACCACACACTCTGCTGTCGTCCATCCGGTCGGCCGAGCCGTGCCATGCCGTGCCAGGCGCTGGTATAGGTCGGGTCGGTTCTTATATTAATTTTTTTGACAAAATTTATTTGAATTTTGTGGGAAATTAATTCAAAATTTGAATTTAATTTTTTATGTCCATAAATGTGCCATTTTCAGTCCACAACAGATTCAGATTCAGATTCAAACTGTCTACAGGTTTTAAACTGCCCGAACAAATCCAAACTGCTGAGCAGTTATCTGTCCAAAACTGCCACTAGATCTGTTGCAGTTATAGCAGTTATCTGTTTGAATTTTGAAACTGCACCTGTTCAAAACTGTTTCATAGCTGTTCAATTTTTTATTGCACCTGTTTGGACAGAATTTTTGCCTATAAATACCAACATTTCCAGTAGTGTTCAACCATCGAAAATAGTTTGAAAAAAATACATTTTGCTGTCCAGATTTCGTTCCTTTGTATATATAATCTTCATTCTAGTTTTAGAGAAAATTAAAGAAAGTATAGAACACAAGGTTCTAGTTCGCCGGACAAATTTGTTTGGAGTGTTACTACAAATTTGTGAAGATCATTGTATCCTGGAAGATAGACGCCACATAACCGTAAGCACCGTAGCGGGGCGAATCTGTCTTAAGGACAGAGTATCACACACTTGACTTGATCTTTTTATTATACTTCAGTTTGATAAAATAAATTCTGTAAGTTATTTATTTTATTTTGTTTGATTTAGTTTCAATTTATTTTTCACACAGAAGATTGTTCCAACACTAGTAACTGCTCAGCAGAGGAATTCGGTGCTTGCAATTGCTCGTCAGGTGCTCAAGAAACTGGGGATGGCATTGGCAATGATGCAACTTCACTAGGATCGGATGTGATTGGTTGAACTTCAAGATTTGGGGCAACCAATGGGTGTTCATCCAACATGGAATTATACTCTGAAAGCTGGTTAAGTGGACCAAGGATCCTCTAGAGTGAAATTTCCCTAAAGTTTCCTAGAGTGTTATATTGTGTGATTGAGATTTACTGGCAAGTCACATCAGAAAAATTGTTGTGACTTGCCAGTAAATCTCAACCACACAATGTTGCACTCTAGGAAACTTTAGGGAAAAATCACTCTAGAGGATCCTTGCTCGGTTAAGTGGTTCAGGAATATGAACTTCCAACATATTGTATGTCTGTTTCGGAAAACTCTTTCGATTGAACCTCAATAACTACCACGCTAGACTGATGTAAGAACTGAAATTTACCATCGTTTAGAGATTGACACAAGTTCCGATCAATGACTAGAAAATTTTTTCCCATGACCACTTTTTTCCTTCGCTTGAAAGGCGTTTTGAGAGCAGCCCCGTTAACTGTATCTTCTCCAATCCTACTGCCACTACCCACAACAGAACCTTGAGGCCAAAAAAGGCTACTTTTTCAAAATCAACATCTAGAACACCACTACTACTACCCTCACCAAGGTTTGCAAAGCATGGTATTGTCTGACTCTTCTTAGGTGAAGCAACCTTCTTGTCCAAATCTTCAACCATAAAATCTGAACCATGTTTTAGAGATCGCTCGATCAATTCCCAATCAAAACAAAAATCATCACAAAGGGTATCTTTGATTAAAGCTATTTCAAGTGGATCCATATACAAGAGCATGTCTTGTGGTGTCAGACATCTATTGTTTGGACTACAACCACTGTCTATTACAATAGCTTTACCTTTCTCTTCCCTTGAAATTCACTTAGTGGCCGATTCAGAGTTGAGAAGGAATCTTTTTTGCAACATAGATACAAATACCCCAGAACAACAAGAAGAGAACAAGTAGAGAAAAAACACAAACAACGAAAGAACCCTGACTCACAAAAACTAGAGAAAAAGGATAACTAACAAACATAACTAAAGTAAGAAAAGAAACCAACACAAAACAAACTAAGATAACCAGCAACAAACCCACACCCAAAAATCTCCCAATAAAAAGAGGCCAAAGAATGCTACTAAAGGTCAAGGATCGAGTCGATAATACGAGGACTGGGAAAAGGGAAACTGGGGTCTACTGTAAAAAGAAAATAAAAGGTCCAGATCTGCAACACTTAAGAACAATACTAAAAGGAAAAAAAACAAAGGAAAAGAAAAGACAGAAAAACGGGAAGAGGAGAACAAGATCAGTCAACGTCGAAAAAACGGATGCTTAAATTGGCTCAAAGCATAGTCAACTTGAAAACCTACTTCAGTAGCTCCCCCTCCCCCTCCCCCTAAGCGATGATGAGATCTAGAGTGCGAGGGTGAAAAAGAATGAACAGCCAGAAATCTCTTACCTGATCCCCCGGAAATTGCTAAGAAATGAAATTAAATCTACCATTCTGACCATCAACATAGCCATCAATCAAACACATCACCACCACCACCCAACCAAACACCAAACCATCCATCCCCTTCACTACAAAAACCTTCTTAACCAGTTCCACATGCCAGTTCCACTCAATTGAAGCCATAGCCACCTTTATCCCAAACCTTGTAACCACAAACAACCCAGCATCTTTCTCCACCCTACCGTTAACTGGTAGTTTTCACATCCACCTATCAACACTGCGAGGATGAGACTACCATCACTTATCTATGTTCTCTCTTTTAAGGAATTTCCGCCACTCAGAGTTTACCCAAGTAATTTCAAGCTCAATACACCTAGAAAATGGCCCCATGGGTCAAACATTTAAGTAATTGGGTTTCTATTTTTTCTTTTTTTAAATCAACAGATCTAGAAAAAAGCCTCAAAGAATACATAACTGCTGTTGTAGATCTAGTTTGTTGTTGTTGTTGTTGTCTGAACCTGAAGAAAAAGCTCAAAAGAATACACATATAATTAGATATTTTAGTTGTGGGTTTGATATCCTTTTACATACATAACCTCAATACAGAGAAGGAAAAAAAAAATTCAAAATACACCAGAGATTTCACATATGTCACTAAACATACCCTCTTATATGATACACAAGTTCCAAAGATTATTTAATTGTATCTGAATTGGCGATATATAATGATATATTTGTAGCAGATATTGTTGTATCTGACCTCTCATGAGAGGTTAGTTAGTCCTTAGACAAGAAGCTTTAACCACTTGAACAACAGGATGAATATGGCAAATAAAGCAATTGAACAAGCTATTATACCTCCAGCAGCCCCAAACCAGGGTGCAAAGGTTCCAGAATCAAAGAGAGGAATGTGGATGTTAATGCTTAAGAAACCTGCAGCCACGACCCCTAAATTGAACATTAGAGCTCCTGTAGTAATAATTATGCCCATTCGCAAAAGTTGATTCTGTTTGTCGTCCAATACGATGTTGATGTAGTCCTCTGTGTTGTGGATGTATTCACGCAGCTTTAAAAACCAAACAAGAAGAATTACAGCATTAGAATGATCTTGACAGATTCAGAAGGCTCATTTTCTTCTTTATTATTATTTTATTTTTTTCTCTTTTTTCTTCATTGCTGAAAATTTTAAAAAGAAATTTCTTTTGGATGGAGTACAAAGAAATCAAAGACACAAGACATGAGATAGGACTGCATGATAAAGAATTTAACCAACTAGAAATATTGACATGTTCCTTGATTTTGTGTAGCTAAAAGGAGTTGTCATTATATTTTCATACAGCATACTAAAGTCATATAACATCATTGTAATTTCGGTATATACGTCATTGAAGAGAAGATCAGTGGTGCTATATGCACATAATTTTTCATAGAACCAATCATAGAAGAAGGGTGGAACCCACACGTGGGACACTTATCATTTCCCAGGGAGGATTGGGAAAAAGGAAGCGAGGAAAGTAGATGGGAGGATGGAAACAGTTTCCTTCATTTGGCAGAAAAGAAAGGGGTAGGGAAATAAAAATTTCATCAAGATCAATCTTCCCAAAATGTATGAAGAGGAAGAAGGGAAAAAGGGAAACATTTTACTCACATTTTTCCCCCTTCAAATAAACACCCTTTTCACCGATAAGTAAAAATATTTCGGTGAAACAAAGTAACACTTTTTGCTCAACCAAACAGACAGACAAAGAGAGTACCCTCTGCTCTGCTGTGCTTTTTATCCCTCCTAACTCTTCTTTTTCCACTAAAGTTTCCAAATAACCAAACAAATCTACTTTAGGGATTAGAAGTAGAATAGCATTATCTAAAAAATAAAAACAAAGAGAAGTTTAACGTACAGTCGATAGTTTGTTTAATATTCCTTCTATTTGCACAAAGTAGGCTCCCAATAGCATTTCCAACTCTTCAACATTTGGTTTGAGATCACTTACATCTATAGAACTTTTTTTGCTGCTCATGTCCTCATCACTGAAAATTGAAAACCAAGAAGCATGATGAAGCACATTGAATTAAAATTATTGAAAAATAAGAACAACTTCTTTGTTTATTATAGCCTTAATAGTAATAGGTGAAGGTAAAATCAATACCTAGGCAGGGTTCAAATTAGACTATGAGATTTATCGGGTAAAACCAAGATCAAACCTAAACCAACATTGAAAAATCAGACTATGAGATTTATCAGGAAGTTACACTCAGTTAGTGTTGCTGCAAAACCAACATTGACGATGTAGTTTTGCAATAATGTCTTGGCGATCTGTGTATAATAAAGAAAACATCTAAAGTATTCCACATGCAAAGATATTGCAAGAATCTAAATGGAAAATAATTTACCTATCATTGCCCGATTTAAATGCATTTGCATCATTCTCTAGTTCAACTTCTAAACCTTCAGATTGCAAGCTGGCAAGCTTATCAGTCAAGTACATTTGAGACATATCTAAGTCATCATCCAGTAGATGTTCAAATTCATCCCTCACCTATAAAATATATGGCATAATATCATTATACTAAATCAATTAGCTACTTTTCCGAACAAGAATAAATTTTTTTATAGAAAAAGGAAAAAGAAAAGAAAAATCCCTTATCAAGAATTAATATGATGAAATGGAAAACAATTAATCAAACTAAAAAGTGATGAGTATTAAAGAAGTCAATGAGATAATACTATACCTTCTGCACACGCCCAGACAGAGCAACCAAACGACCTTTTATGACTCTCACGTGTTTGAGATTATGCGTACTGGTTTTAGCAGATAACTCATCTAAAGCCGGATATGCCTCTTCTTCTAATGTGGAAGTCTGGATAAATATATCAACACAGATTTGTAAAAATTACATCTCTAAAGAAACTGAAATTAGACCACTTTGATGATATAGTTAAGCATTAACAAAAAACTCAAAACTCAACTTCTAGTGAAACCTTAGTTGTGAGGGAGGGGGAAAAAAAAAAAAGGTGAATGCATTCAAAGACCAAACATGCTTCAGCGATATCTCAGTAAAAGGTCCACAACCAACAAGAAGATTGATTCATGGCATTTAATGCACAATTTACATTGTTTGAAAGGTTTAAATCTATAGTTCTATCTGTTGATAATATATTGATAACAATGACGGGCTGGAAAAGTTCATAAAACACCAGTACTAGTGCTGATTGAAGGATGTTACCACAAGTTTAAGAATGTATAGGGAACGTTGTCAAAGTTGTCAAAAATTTTTACTACTTGAAAAATTCATCTTTTCCCATAAAGGACATATTAACTCTCTCTTTGATGGATGGATTGAACACGTGAAAGGTGTAGAAGACCTAAAAAGTTGTGTGATACCAAATTATAGTTTAATGATGTGAGAATATGGAGAAATTATTGGGTACAGATAGGGTACCATGTGGCAATACCACTTGGTGCCTTCCTTTATTCTCATTAGTTTAGATTTGTTGGGATCTGGGATCCCGCCCAAGACCTTATAGAAATCATTGCAAGCAGAAAAACACACCCACACACAAGGAGACACAATATTTTACGTGGTTCGGCCCAATGCCTACGTCCACGGGAGAGTAACCGATTATCACTATACCAATGAGGAGATTACAGAAAGATTACAATAGAGGAGGAGCTCACACTCTCCTCACTCAGCCACTCACCCGTCTCCCTCGCTCACACCGAGAGAGACGGTCTCTCCGCCTCACATCTCTCGCACTCTTTGGTTCACGGTTTTCTTCCTCACTCACTTACTCACCCTTTGGCCTCTCCTCTCAACCTCCATTTATAGGTGAGGGAGTAGGTGGGAGAGCCTTTGGGCAGCCTCCATCCTTGACTCTTCAAGATGGTTGGTGGCCGCCAAGGTGGACTTTGGTTGGTTGCCTTCCCATTGTTGCCAACCAAACTTGACTTGGATGATCACCCCTTTCACACATGGGTGAATTCAACAAGATTGTAGGACCTATTATATTTATGTTAGGTACTTGGGGAACATGAAGGGGGCTACATAATTTATGATTGGTTAGAAGGTACCAAATGGCATGCCACTTGGTACCCTATTGGTACCCAATAATTTTTAGAGAATATGGCTGCAAGATTATGAGGTGGTTAATGATGTCATAAATTCATCCAAGATACTCAAAAAATCAGGGTGCTTGTATATTTCATGATGTACACAGAAAGTTTCAAACAAAATTCAATCAAATACATTAATAGAATTCAATATCACAGCTCGAGTAAAGAAGTAGAAATACAAAGCAAAAGCATTAGGACATATATATTAATAGTCATACCTCAGATTCAAGGCTCCTGCAGACAGATTCTAGGCAAATCTCAAAAGCTCTGAACTCAAATGGTAATGGCTTTGAGTTGCCCCTATTTGACCATTCAGCTGGTGATTTAGGACTCCTATCACTTGCATCTGGTGGCGTATTAGAGGGTGATTGCTCCATAGCTTTATTGCTTACCATAGTGGCCTTCACCCAGCAACACAATCAATCATACACCTCTTTTTAAATTTTATCAATCATTAGGTGGTGTCGTGATGCTTTTTTCTTCTCTTTTTTTTCTTGATTAAAGTAACAATAAACTGGATATATTGTTCTCTGCTTAGCATTATTTAAGAAAAAAATAATTTCGCCGACAATTTATGCTTCCAACTATTATCTGTTGACTTATGTTTACCATAATAAGCAAAAAGGAAATGGCCATTACCCAGCGTTTGCCTCCATTAATCAAGGATTCCAGATCGGGCAGATGGGTGTGGATCTAACTCTTCTCCTTATTTGCTCGATGTTGTAGTTCATTGCACCAAAACCCGCATTCTCACAGTTATAAGCTCAGAATTTTAACAATTTCACCAAGTAGTGGTTCCTAATTATATTTAAAGAAAACAGGATTTCCTAATTTTTAATTCTGTAAAAAAGTGTTAAAATTTTTTTCTCAGCTCGCTCATTTTTTTCATGTTGTGTTATTGACTCAAAATTCCAAAAACAAAATTATACAAATTTCACCCAACATATTCACAGATCAACCCACTGAAATAAATCAGAAGAAGAACGATCACACAAATCAAATCAGAATCAAGTTAACTTCATGAAATAAATGAAGAAAAGCACTTACACCAAAATCAGAGAGCTTGAATTCGAGATCACAAACAAATGAACCCATAAAAGGGTCTTTAGGGTTTGGTACCAGAACTTCATTCGCAGTTATAATCGCTTTAATATGTTCCAAATTCACAACAATAGCCCTCTCTCTTCGGAGAATCGCAGAGGGGTTCAAGAGCTCTGATTCAACAACCCTCAAATCATGAGCCTGAACTCCACTCCTCAGCATGATCGCTTGCTTCCCAAGCTCTTCAATTCGAGAGTTCCCCAATTTTGAGACGACGAACCAAGTCCTCACTCCGGAGCCCTTCCTCTTCGCCTGAAGCTGATAGGGAAGGGGAAGAGAGGTTCGATTGAGCTTGATCTGATCCGCCATTTTTTAGACAAATTCGAGCTAGGGATTTGGTGGTGAGATAGAAAAGGGTTTGATAGTCCATCAATAGAAATAGGGATTTGGGCTCAAATGGTAATCGTAACTGATACAGGTGAGATTTGGATACATATACATTACATGAATAGTCAACGAATCAAACCCTTTTAAAAAAAGAATAGTCAACGAATTTTTAAAAATCATCCGGGGGCGGGAATGATGGTTAGTCGGGGTAGTTTTAGCTTGCCCTAACGGTTTCCACTTTTTTATTTTTATATGGGTTTTTCCTATTTACCAAAATAATTAAATAATTTTTTTTTTTTGTTCTTTTATTTGTTTTAATTAAAATCAGCTGCATCTAGAATTTTTACAACTATTCGAGAAGAGAAATTTTAATAGACACACCCTTTTTTGGAGTGTAATATATGCATCCCTAATTATGTCATATTTTTCTTTAATTAGTACTAATTTTTTTTCTTCAGGTATGATATTATTTTAGTTATGACTGATAAATTATTTAGTTAAGCCGCATGTTATGTTTAGTTATGATATTTTTTTTTAGTTATGATTCAGAAAATATAAAATTATGTCTTTTTTTTTTTTTAAGTTATAAGATGTATATATGGTACACATTATTTAGTATTTTCCATTCGAGAAACATAGAGAAGTGTCAAAAGTGAGAGATTCATATGAGTGGAGTTTACATGTGGAATCTATTTATCTTGTGAAAATTTTTTGTGTACTTAATTTTTTTTTAAATTTATTCAGTAAAAGTGAAACTTATATAAAAATATGGAGGAGATTTTTTTTAATTAAAAGTTATAATACAAATATTTGTTGATAACATACAAATTTTGATTTATAAATGACCAACGAATTCTTAGATGTTCAAAATGATGCATAATAGTTTTATTTTTATTTAATTTTTAGATGGGAATGCATAATAGTTCTATTGAAATGCTATTAAAATTGTTTTTCTTACTATATATATTGGTGTTCTGAAAAATTGGTAAAAATTTAGTTTTTGACTTTCCTATAACTTTTTGACTTTTTTATGTAAAAAAAAAATAAAGAAGTGATATGACCCAAAAAAATCAAAAAGTCAAAAGACTAACTTTTTACTATGTTGCCAAAATGCCCATAATCAAGTAATGATTTATTTCCTAATCATCCATGGGGTTACAAAATCAATTCTTTACGATCTTCGTAGTACCCACCCAAAAAAAAAAAAACCAATCTTCATAGCAAAAAAAAGTTCTATCTATTATATGACATAAATAAGTTGAGACTTTTGTCAACTAATGAGTACATTATACTAGGTATGTTATTTTTATAATATAAATGAAAACTGGTGCCTCTTTTCGCTTGACCTCGGCAACGGTTGCCTTGGCCGTTTTTCGCAATTCGATTACACGCTAGTGGGCAGTGTGATTTTTCTGGATGGCCTGCACAGTGTCCGAAAAAGATAAGTTTAAACCGCGCTAAGAGATTACGAAAAGTAGTAGTTTTGTTGAGAAGCTCAAAGCTTACTAGGACCATCGACTTTGTGGCGGACCGAATCGCCTTCAGCTCGGTCAAGTTCTCGTGCCTTTCCATATCGACTGGAAGGCATAAACTTTTGGATAAACCAAACGCCAGTAGGTGATCTTTTTCGGCGGTAACAGAGTCAGCCATGGTAACTGCACGGCCTTTGAAAGTTACAACCGGCGCCCACGTCGAAGAAGAACTAGCACGGCCGGGGGTGCCTCCCCCTTGCCTCGGTTGACTTACGGGTGCCTCTGTCTCTTTTGGTTCATCTTTGTCCATCAGCCGCTGCGGTTGAGAGGCCGAGGTGCGCGGCCTCTTATTGGGCCGAGATGAGGTAGCCGGAGAGGAGGGCAACGCAACAATTGTTTCAATGGTTTGACTGGTTGTAGTTTGCTCGGTTTGGACCTCAGCGTTTGTGTTGGATGCCTGTTCGGTGATCAAAGTCCGGACGGCTCTCCTCTTGGCCATTTCTTGCTCTTCATTAAGTGGGATAAGGTTGATCTGGGGCAAGTTGGGGTCTAGTTCAGGTAATGATTCAAGAAGGAAGTCAGTAACCTTTGTTTTTCTCTTTCCACTACACCGGTAGGTCGGCTCAAAGTTTAGGAGCTCGATCCAATCTCTGTGGCGGTATCGAAGCGCGGCTTGAAGTGTGGCCTGATTTGCGTAGGCATAGTTGGATTTAAGCTGGTTTAAATCTGCACAGAGGACAATCATAAGGGTTAGCACAGTGGTTGTTGAAATAACAAAGGAAATTAAACCGGTTTGATTTTACCAGCTGTTCCTTTATTCTAGTTTATGTTATAACTCCGTATTTGGGCTTCTTGGTCTTCAAAATTGCCCAACACCCAGAGAAAGTTGTCTCGTTCAAGTCTTTGTCCAGTGTTCTCTTAACAATTTTCTCTCGACCTCTCCTTACTCTAAGGTAATAAACCCAACTGTCGTCATTCTGGCCGAGCGAGTACTGATGGAACAGCTCGGCCGAACCGAGGTTCAGACCTAGGCGGCGATTTAGCTTAGCAATCCCATTGATAATTCTATAGGTGTTGGTTGATAATTGAGTGGGGTATAGCCTAGTCTGTCTAAAGAATTCACAGATCAAGGGTTCGATGGGGAACCAAAGTCCCTCATCTACAATGGACACCATGGTGCAGGGGACAAAGCCTGATTTGCCCCATGGTGTGGTGTCCAACTTGGCTAAGGAGAGGTGGATGTCGTCTGGAATGTGGTAGTCTCTTCGAAATTCGGCCATGGCTCCAGGGAAGTCTACCAGAAATCGGTATCTACCTATTAAAACTTAAAAAATTGCTAAGTTAAAATTGTACACGACGGCCTAGCTCGGCGCTGATGTGACCTTGGTTGGCTCGATTGAGTAAAAAACCACTAGGGGGCGAAGTGCAAGGGTGTGCTTGGCCAACCTAGTCAAATTCTGCAAAGTGGAAATAAAAAGTGTTATGCCTAGCTAAAGGACTTGGCTAAGTAAATAGTTAATGCAAAATAAGCCTAACTCGGCTACAGGTGGGTCACAAGCTATTCCTAGTTCGGCACAAGAGTAGGACCGACTCAAGGATTTAGCTCAGTTGTTGGTCAAGGCATTTTTAGTTCAGTCAGGTTCAAGCCTAAAGGTCGCAAACATATTCTTAGTTCGGCCGTATTACGATTTTTGATCAAAAACACTGTTCTTGGCTGGTTTAAAGTCCAATCAATGTGTTTCCAAGGTGTTGAAATGTTATTTCCAGACATAAACGAGAACATGTTAGTACCAGAATAATAAGGGCATGGGAAACTTACGATTTTGGGTGTAGAATCCAAATCCAATCTAAAAAACAGGCAGCAGCAGCAAGGGAGAATAAGAACTGGTGATGCGTGGACCAAGGCTTGGGCGTGAAAAGTTGAGGCTTCAAGCTCTGGTTATGAGATTCCGCAGCGAAAAAGACGAACAGTGAAGAAGACTCTTCACTAGACATAAGATATATTTATTGAAGATAGAGAGGCGGAACGTTTCAAAAATTATTGGGATCCACGCTTGACGATTGTGACAGAGATACAGAGCCTACAGGGGTGTGCCATGTGTCTTAGGCCTAGGTAGTGTCAGACGTGTTGTACAGCTAAGAAGACTGTTGAAAATCGTGCAAACTGAAGGACCGAGCTCAAATTTTGGTTCGAGTAGGTTAGGCATTTTTTAGCTCGGTTGAAGATCAGTAATCCCAATCATACTTCGTAGATGGGATTAAGAGGCAATTGAGAGGGTAATTTGTGTAAACCACAATTGGGCCGAGCTAGCTGAAATGGATTGCGCATGTTGGGCTGTTCATTGGCCGTAGTAACCCCTGTAAGTGGCCCACTATGCGTTGAGCCTATTGCAGGCCGGTCAGAGGTGACTGTTGGATGTAAAATTACATTACTTGGCGAGTCCAAAGTAGAACCGTGGTGTTTTTCTAGAAGGTCGAGCTATGCGCAGCTCTGTACTACACGGTATGTGTTGGCGCGATTCAGGGTAGGATATCTCGATTTGGCATCAGCAGTCGAACGAAGGGTTTGGCCATCTCATTCTGTTCGGCTATGAATGAAGTGTTATCAGGATAGACACTCTTCACTGGAAGAGTGAATCTTAGGAGGTTTCTTATAGGAAGAGTTGGAGTCCTACTAGGATGGTACCAGGTGAAATCTATAAAAGCTCATGGCAGGACCTATATACAGGTATCACAATTTTCACCTTAGAATACACAGTGCTTTTGTGTCTATTGTTTATTTGCTGACTTAGGCAGCGGAGAAATTTCCGGCACACACTTGCCGGCTAGCTCATGTTTGTGTTTTCAGGGAGTAAAGCGACGACTTTTGGAGGAGTGCAAACTTGATCAACAGGATTAAAGATTATACGAGAAGATTATTTCGTGCTCATACATGCTCCATTCCAGAAACACCACCACCCCCACTATAGTCAAACCCAGATTTGGAAAATTGTTCTGTGAAATCACTTAATCTACAACCCTCCATCGAATTATTCACCTTGTTAAATCAATTGAGGAATTTCCACCACTCAGAGTTTACCCAAGTAATTTCAAGCTCAATACACCTAGAAAATGGCCCCATGGGTCAAACATTTAAGTAATTGGGTATCTATTTTTTCTTTTTTTAAATCAACAGATCTAGAAAAAAAGCTCAAAGAATATGTAATTGCTGTTGTATTGTAGATCTAGTTTGTGTTTGTTGTTGTTGTATGAACCTGAAGGAAAAGCTCAAAAGAATACACATATAATTAGATATTTTAGTTATAGGTTTGATATCATTTTACATACATAACCTCAGTACAGAGAAGGAAAAAAAAAATCAAAATACACCAGAGACTTCACATATGTCACTAAACATACCCTATTATATGATACACAAGATCCAAAGATTATTTAATTGTATCTGATTTGGAGACAGATAATGATATATTTGTAGTAGATATTGTTGTATCTAACCATTCATGAGAAGTTAGTTAGTCCTCAGACAAGAAGTTTTAACCACTTGAACAACAGGATGAATATGGCAAATAAAGCAATCGAACAAGCAATTATACCCCCAGCAGCCCCATACCACTGTGCAAAGGTTCCGGAAGTAAAGAGAGGAATGTCAATGTTAGTGCTCAAGAAACCTGAAGCCACGACCCCTGAGTTGAGCATCAAACCCCCTGTAGTAATAATTATGC